GAAGTTTCTCGATGCAAGTAATGTACACATATTGATCCTTCAACTCTAGCTTTTTTTTTCACTGATCGCTTTGAATCACCCATGAATCTTTCAAACGGATACATCCACCTATATTGAACAGGTCCTCCTAGATAAGCCTCGTATGCAAGATGCACAGGTAGATGTTCTATGGAGTAAAAAAAACCAGGCGGAAATACTTGTTCCAACTTACAGAGAATGACTGAAATATTTATGTCCAACTTAATGATGTTATCCACTCTTAAAGATGACGCACAAATATCTCTAAAAAATTGACTAATTTCAGTGAGTGGATTAAGCACATGTTTGGGTAGAGAACCGAACGCAATTGGTAGCAATTGTTCTATAAAAACATGGCAATCATGACTTTTCATACCATGCAACTTCCCAATGTTAGCATCAGCACACCTTGCTGAATTTGAAGAATACCCGTCGGGAATTCTCAAACCTTTTAGCCATCCACAAACCGCTTTAGCTTCTTGGGGGTCAGACTGAAACAAGCTTTGGGTTTAAATAATTTTTCATTTGGTTGAGGCTTCAATTCCAACTCTTTACGATTACACCAAATTTCCATGTCTTGTCTAGCCTTCACATTATCTTTTATTCTGTCTCTAACATCCATCATTGTGTTAAATACGTTATCAAAAAAATTCTTCTCAATATGCATAACATCAAGATTATGGCGCAGCAAATTATCTTTCCAATACGGGAGGTCCCAAAATATACTTCTTTTTGTCCAATTATGTGTGACCCCATATCCTTCAATTCTACATGCTTTGCCAGTATCTGTAAACTTTGGAAGTTCACAAACTTGGTTCCATATAGCAACTGGTGACAATCGAGGCGGAGGCAGATCTGTTACCCGTTCGTCCTTTTTGAAATTTGTCTTGTTTTTTCTAAAGGGATGATTTGATGGTAGGAATCTGCGGTGACAGTCAAACCACGAGCTTTCCCCCCCTTTTTCCAATGTAAACGTCTTAGTGCATTCCATGCAATGCGGACAACCCATTCTGCCATGCGTACCCCAACCAGACAACATGTCATATGCTGGAAAGTCGTTAATGGTCCACATCAAGGAAGCTCGCATAGAAAAGTTTTGTTTACGGGATATATCATAAGTCTATTCTCCATTATTCCACAACCTCTTCAAATCATCAATTAAAGGTTGTAAGTACACATCAATTCTGGTTTTTGGACTCGACGATCCTGGAATGACGCACGTCAAAAACATGTATGGTTGTGTCATGCACATCTCAGGAGGGAGATTGTAAAGGGTTACAATAACTGGCCAACAAGAATACGCACTTTCAGACACTTGGACATATGGAGCAAAACCATCAGAGCATAATCCAAGCCTGACATTTCTAGGTTCCGCGGAAAAATCAGGATGTACCTCATCAAAGTGCTTCCATGCATGGCCGTCAGATGGGTGTCGCATATTGCCTGAGCTTGTTTTGTTTGTATGATGCCATGTCATTTGACTTGCACTGTGCATTGAAGAAAACATTCTTTTTAACCTTGGTATTATCGGAAGATAAAACATGGACTTTACTACTACACGTTTTTGCTTACTGTTAATGGCTCTATTGCGAACTTTATATATTGGACTCTGACAAAACTTACATTCCTCCGACGATCCATCTTGAGTACCAAACTCGTTGTCATAAAACAACATGCAACCATTAACGCAACAATCAATCTTTCTTACTCTTAAACCCAACTTCGACACCAACTTCTTTGCATCATAGAAACTCGCAGGCAAGTTGTCTTTCGTTGCAGTTGAGTCCAACATCATTTTTGGGAAGTGCTCCAAACACTGATCAGGAACATTCCAATTTGACTTGGCGGCCAATAATCTCACACACATTGATAGCTTTGAGTCTGACGACCCCTCAAACAACGGTGTATTCATCTCATTCAACAACTGATAAAATCTTTGCGCTTCCTCATTCGGCAACTCTTCCCCGTCAAAATCTTCTGGTTGATCATAGGTCACGTTAACACCAAAAGCATCACCAACCATGTCACCTATCAGATTAAAGTTTTCCTCAAATTCCATAGGCGGTTGCATAGCCGGTTGACTACTTGAAGCATTTGTGTTGCTAGTCTCTGGTACGTTACTCGGCAGTGTTTCACCATTATACGTCCAAACCCAATAATTTTCAATGAAACTTTTTCTATGCAAATGACGTGTTATTTCCTCTGGGTCACTAATTATATATCTACATCCACATTTAAGACAAGGACACCTAACTCCTCCTTCACTTCGACAACGTTCCTGAGCAAACGTCCACGTGATAAAACCATTAACTCCGTCTATAAAATTGGGTTTAAGTGCGCGTCTTCCTGGATATAGTCTATTGTACATCCAACTACGATAATACCTATAATATTCCATTTACTGCAAATTTATATAATCAAAACCTTTTTAATTAGAAATATTAATTAATCAACTTAATAATAATCCTAAACATATACTATTAAACATAAATATATGCTTTTACTTTAACTATTTTTAATATATAATATTTTTTATTATATACTATTAAATATACTATATATTAATATAGTTTATTAAATATATAATAATTCATAAAACAATTTTTATTGACATATAATATAATTTTTATAAAATAATTTTTAATTATAAAACCGTTTTTATTAAGATACATATAATATATAATAATTAAATACGTAAACCAATTTTTTATATATAATGTTTTATTGACATATAATATTTTTAATTATATACTATTAAATATACTATTAATATAGTTTATTAAACATTTAATAAACTCAGATTCAATATTATAAATTAAATAAAATCAGATTCAACCAAATTCAATGAAAATTACAATATTATAATTTAACCAAATTCAACCTAAAATTTAACTAAATTCAAAAAATATACTAAATTCAAAAAAAAAATTCCAAGAAATACCTCTTATCTTCTAACTCCTTCAATCTTCTTGTCCAACCTTTTTGCAATCTACTTCTATCAATCTTCTTCTATTCAAAGAAAAATTAAAATAAATTACAATCTCATAATACAATAAATAAAAACTTGTAAACAAAATAGAGACAAAATTGAATTTAACTTACCTGAAAACAAGGATTAATGGAGATTGAAGAGATTTTATATTGGAGAAGAAGAGATTTTATGAAGAAGAAGATGGTTAATGGAGGGATGGAATGAGAAGAGGGTTGATGAAGAAGAAGAGTTTTTATGTTAGATAACAATACTGTCTGTTGTGGAGCGTGATGAAATTAAATATATGTAGCATTTAGTGACGTGAAAATCACGCCGCAACGTTGCCACATGATTTTCACGTCACAACCATCCCAACAATCATATTCTCTTTCTTCACATGCCTGCAAAACCTGATCACGCCAGTCTGTAATGATTTGATTTTTCTCTCTTAAATGTTGCGACGTGAATAACACGTCGCAACTTACTTTTTCAAAATTTCAAAAGCACAACCATCTGAACGTTAGACAATTTAAAATATTTTTTATTGTATTTTTACTAGCGACGTGAATCCCACATCGCAACATATTTTTTTATATAAAAAAAGTTAGACAACGATCAGCCTTCTTTATTTTATTAATAAAACATGTTACCACGTGATTTTCACGTTGCAACTGATTTTTTTTAATTGTATGAAAATCACGTGACAAAAACACGTGACTGGAGATGATATTTTTTATAGTGAAAAAGTAATAATTCAATAGAATAATATTTATAAAAGGTTGAAAAATACGAGTATAGAATGCACAAAGTTTATACCATAGTTCATACAACAAATGAACGAAATGATCAGTGATATAAGTTTTTAATAATAATGTTTAGATTTTTTTATCAAACTAATAATCAATCAATAAAGTAATTATAATAATCGAATAATATTTGGGTTTTAAAAGTGTGTTTATTTTAATATCTTTAGTATAAATTCTATTACGTGTTAACAGTTTTTCGGTTAGATCAAGTCTATTCAGAACTTTGTCCATCTCTTAAATGAACAGTAAATTTAATCTTCTTAAATTAATTAATGTAAGTCCAAATACCAAATTTATAAATTAAAAAAAAAATCATAATTTCATATACATATCATTTCAAATTTTAGTAAAAAATAGTTTAAAAAATAATACTTTATTAGAATAATAATATATTGATATTTATAAAAGGCTGAAATTATAAATATACATATATAGATAATGATGTCATGTTTTACTAATATTTTACAGTGTCTATCTACTCATTTCACTATCATCAATCCCAAACCATTTTTCTCTTCCCTCTAAAAAACCAAACAAACTTTTTCAGCTTAAAATCTCGAAGGGCTAAATAAGGGTCTGAATTTTCTTATACATAAATTATTGTACACTTCACTTTTCTTTTTTGTTCACTTCTTTCATTAAAAATACCAACCACCCTTTCAAATCTTTTTACCATATTGGATATGTTATTCATATACCATTTTTTATATTGGATATGTTATTCATATACCATTTTTTATATTCAATAATTACATTGTATACACTATTCACTCTATTTATAAGGTGAATAATATTTTTTTAATAAAATAATATTAAATGATAAATGATATTTGTGAATAGTATTAATGAACAATATCGATGAATAATATTTATGAATAATATTTATGAATATTATATGAATAATAATTTGTAATAGTAAAATAAGATTGGTTAATAAAACATAAAAAAATAATTAATAAAATAATAAAATTAGTTAATAAATATTCTGAAATTAAAAATTGTATTCTATTAAATACCTCCGATTAAGGTCGAAGAGACACTAGTGCACTTAGTTATCACTATAAGTAACTTCAATTATTTTTTTGAGTGAGAAAGTTCCAAGAGCCTATATATATGTGTGTGTGTTTATGTGCAGTCTCTTTAAGAAACTAAAACATAAGAAAGTGTTGTCACTTTTTTCATAGTGTTACTAAGTGAGAGCAAGAATGGGTTTTTTCATGGCAATTTTTGGTGTTTTTTTCATTCTCTGTTTATGCTCTGCTCTTTTGCGATGGAACGAACTAAGATATAGGAAGAAAGGCTTACCTCCTGGCACAATGGGATGGCCACTTTTTGGAGAGACAACAGAGTTTCTGAAACAAGGACCAAATTTCATGAAAAATCAAAGATTAAGGTAACAACAACATCATCATCAACAACAACAACAACATGTGTTTTTCTCTTATGTTTTTGTTTTTAATAATGTTTCTTAAATTAGTCAAACTTGGTCTGAGGTAATCACTGTTTTTTGCATGTACTTTTACTTACCTCAAAAAATTTTACTTTTTTTTTTTTTGGCAGGTTTGGAAGTTTTTTCAAATCACATATACTTGGTTGTCCTACAATAGTTTCAATGGATGCAGAGGTTAATAGATACATATTAATGAATGAATCAAAGGGTCTTGTTCCTGGATATCCTCAATCTATGTTGGATATCTTAGGAAAATGTAATATTGCAGCTGTTCATGGCTCTACTCACAAGTATTTGAGAGGCGCACTTCATTCTATTATTAGTCCAAGTATGATTAGAGATCAAATTTTGCCTAAAATTGATGGCTTTATGAGTTTTCAATTGAGTAATTGGGATGACAAAATCATCAACATTCAAGAGAAAACTAAAGAGGTTAGTTTGGTTTCTACCATTACATCAATTACTTGAATTATAAACAAATATTACGGTTCAACTGAACTCTACGTTCCTTGTATGTTTAATTCGGTTTTTAAAACATTTTTCAAAATTTTATTAACTAATCACAATGATTTAACATTTTAACATAAACTGTTTGAACAGATGGTGTTTCTATCATCTTTGAAGCAGATTGCAAGTATAGACTCAAACTCAAAAATTGCTGAATCTTTCAAGACAGAGTTTTTTAAACTTGTTTTAGGAACCATTTCTCTACCTATTAATCTCCCCGGAACAAATTACCACCGTGGATTTCAGGTTTGATCATTACTCTATTTTCAATTTTTTAGATAAATCGCTAATACAGACACATAAATATCAGACACAAATTTAACACAATTAAAAATAAAAAAAATATAATTAATTAAATATGATCACATGTGTCAGCGTCAAACACAGACATATGTAGAACTTCGTACACGTTTCTTTATTTCTTTACTATTTTTATGAGAATTTCATAATAGATTTTAATGTAAGAAAATTTTACTATGTTTTGCAGGCAAGGAAGAACATAATTAACATTTTGAGACAGTTACTAAAGGAAAGAAGAGCAACAAATGAAAGTCACAAAGACATTCTTGGTTGTTTAATGGAAAATGAAGAAAATAAGTATAAATTAAGTGATGAAGAAATAATTGACTTAGTGATTACACTCATGTATTCTGGTTATGAAACTGTTTCAACCACCTCAATGATGGCAGTGAAGTACCTCCATGATCATCCCAAAGCTCTTGAAGAAATTAGAGTGAGTACAAAATTTCATCATCGTTTCATTAAACATAATTAAAAAAATAATATAATATAATATAATATATAATCATATTCAAATAAAATTAATGTTAGAATATTTTTTTTAAATGGTTTTTATGTAATATTTGCAGAAAGAGCATTTGGCTATAAGAGAGAGGAAAAAACCAAATGAACCAATTGATTTCAATGATATCAAATCAATGAAGTTTACTCGTGCAGTAAGATTATATACATTTTTTATATTATTTTAATTAAATTTAAATTCTTTTAATAATTTTAATTGTTTTTTTATAATAATTTTTATTTAAACTTTTCAGGTGATTTTTGAGACATCTAGATTGGCTACAATAGTTAATGGAGTTCTAAGGAAAACCACTCAAGATTTGCAACTAAATGGTATTTTTTTTAATTATTATTATTAGACCTCTTTAGTTTAGGTTCTGTTTATGGGCTCAAGATTTTATTTTATTAAAAAAACTTAATTGTAAATCTTTAAAAAAAATTAATATTGTAAATTGAATAAAAAATATTTTTTTTATGAACCCAAAAAAAAATGTATCCCTTAGGATATGTATACCTGTCATTTTGAACATCAATTCAACAACCCTACAAAGACAACTTCACTATAAAACAAGTTTTACAGATAAGAATGTGTCTTTTCCCAAATTCCTTTTTCCTTTTAGAATTAATTAAAATACTAACCTTAGAGCTGTCAAAAAGAATTTGAGAAAAAAAAAAGAATAATTTATCATATTATTTTTGTAAATAAAAAAATGTTATTAATGTATTTTTTTTCTTTTCAGGATATTTGATTCCTAAAGGATGGAGAATATATGTGTATACAAGAGAGATAAATTATGATCCTTTTTTATATCCTGAACCATTAGCATTTAATCCATGGAGATGGATGGTTAGTAAAAAAAAAAACTATTTATTTATTTTGCTAATTTGTGAAAAAAATTATATATTATTGCATAAGTTTATTAATATTATTTAAATTAAATTTGCAGGATAAAAGTTTGGAATCACAAAATTATTTCTTGATATTTGGAGGTGGCACTAGACATTGTCCAGGAAAAGAGGCAGGAATCACAGAAATTTCAACTTTCTTACACTATCTTCTAACTAGATACAGGTGATTAATTTTTAATCTTAAATCTAAATTCAAAATTATAGAAATGCATGTTTAATCTTAAATCTTAACTATATTGATATCTTTTATTTAACATGTTTTAATGTTTTTTGTGTAGGTGGGAAGAAACAGGAGGAGATAAATTAATGAAGTTTCCTAGAGTTCAAGCACCAAATGGATTGCACATGAAATTTTCATCTTATAATAACTAGGAAGAGACTTTATGTACAGTAGTGAGATATACAAGGTTGTAGGAGAATTAATGTATGAAATTATTCTTACAAATATTAGAATAAAACTAGTTTTCCTCATAGGTCTAGTTTTGTTTGAAAAAAAAATCAAATATTGATTAAAGAACAATTAATGTAGAGGATCAGCTTCACTAATTGAATGATAAAGTTGGAATAAATATTTTTATAAAATAATTGAAAATGTTGAATAAATTTTGTCAAAAGTCAGTGAGATGAAAAAAAATATTTAAACTCAAAGGCTATAGTATTTTTTTTTTATTTACAAAATGGGTATACTATGGGCTAAGATTTTGAGCCCCATGCTTAGTCTTGGGATATGGCATTTGGAATCTTAAATAAATGTAACCTATGCACCTCCCTTTAACAACTACATTTTGATTTATTAATTTTTTTAATTTTCAGTGAAGAATATATGTGCTTTTTTAATGTTACTTTCAATAACATTTAATTTGGTGATCATGGGCTCTACCTTGAATCATAGAAATATTCTCTTTTTTAAGAAAAAGCAAATGTGTATAATAGAAAATGTTGGTGTGAAAGGTGTGAAAGCTTGTTCCCTTTTATACTAGCCTTACTATGTTCTTAAATTGGGGTAAGCCCATAAACAAATAAAAATTTAAAAAATCCAGTACATTTCAAATTTTCCTTATTTTTTTTTAAAAAAAATTGATAGGCAATGGGGTTTTTTATATATAGTTTTGCTTTTTAAACTTTTAAACATAACAAAATGACAATCGACATATTTGATCAAAAGTATTTGTGCAGACACAATTAACATGATAATATATATATATATATATATATATATATATATATATATATATATATATATATATATATATATATATATATATATATATATATATATATATATATATATATATATATATATATATATATATATATATATATATATATATATATATATATATATATATATATATATATATATATATATATATATAATGGATAACATACTACAATATGAATATAAAATAAATTATATTGACTTTCCAACTTTTACCTAGTGTTTTATACGTCCCGCATATACTGTTTCCCATACTCTTGCATCTTTACTACAATTTTGTCTCTAACACTTAGTGACAAGAGACTATGGACAATCGAGTTTCAGTTTCAGCTGAATCTAATGGTTGTTTTTAACAAAACCAATTGCAATAAACTTATGTCTACTCGCAGACATAGATGGAGATACCACAAGTGGGAAGAAAGTATTATTAAGGTTACGGGGCAACTAGATAAATATCACAATGTATCTAGAAGCAATAGTGTAACCTATATTCAGAATCATCATCCACTTCTCACGATCTTCAACATCCTAGCTAGATACTCGCAATGAATTCCTATCTTCAGAGACCATGTAATTTAACACCTTTGTATATATCAAAATTATTTAGAAAACTTAACTATCTAACTATGTCGTAATCAAGGACCATATGTCTCCTCATCTCATCCAAGTAAATTTGCAATCGAACAAAAACCAAATTTTCTATTAGGCTTCACATTTATAATATCTTCAATGTAGTCATGTAAGAAAATAAGAAACTGAGATAGGTAAAGATGTCTGCAATACTTGCTAGACGAATCACTTGCACTTGATTTTGCACATGATCTCTTTGTTGTCCAACTTCCTTACAAGGCCTCAACATACTTCCACTTTAAAGGGTCACAATGTATATCACTTACTTGACTCATTTTACTCTTCTTATTTCCTCTTTTTGGCTTGTACTTCACTGGTGGTGGACACATGAAAATTCTGGGTGGATATGTTAGTTTATGAACTTTTCTTCATTGCCCTCTGGCCAACTATATCCAATATATTAAAATACCTCTTCAACTCTTCACACTATTCTTATAAATCCAAATGTGTCCCAATATCTTCTTGAATGACGTCGTGCTCTTCGATGTTTAATTTCTTCCAAAACACATCAATGATTTCTAACAGAACTGTGTCACCTTGTATTTGAAGACCTGCAAGTTCACACACACTAGATAACCCATGTGTTGTTCTAATGAAGAAACCCCATGTATCTTTGTCGGAACCAATGAATTTTACCATTTCCAACTCCTTTGCAATGTGATGTATACATTATCTTGATATGAAATTCTGCAATCTAGAGTAAAACGAGGTGTTATACCAAAGGTCAACGTTGGTAATACCTTTTTTAAATGATACTCTGATTGCACCTAGTTGCAACTACAACTTGGTGTTCACAATATTCCAACTTCTGCATAAATCTCCCTAGCTAGTAGTCAACATATTTCTAAGTCTCCAATGAGCAAATTCAATCCTAAACAACAAAAATAGAAAAAGATGTTATAAATTGATAAATAGTAATGTAATAAAATCAAAGTCACAACTCACAAGGATGTACTTGTTAGTTGTCATGTTCCCTGAATGAGTGACTCTATTAGTCTATGCAACAACAAAATTTTCTTTATAGAGTGTCAACCATGTTTGTTGCATATACTACCTCAAAAATCTTCAAGTGTTTCAATAACTCATACTCCCTATTTGAATACATTATTTTGTTCCATTGATCCATATTTTTTCCTATTAAACTCGACATACTCCATACACTTAAAACTAACATTTTTTAAATATGAAAGACACACAATTGATGAATTGAGGATGGGAACACAATTTCCAAGACATGCATCATTACAAGTTTCTGGTCTGTCGCCACAACCTTCGATAGAAACTTCTCAAATGCGAACAACTCCTTTAGCTTCTCCAGTGCCCATGTGAAGTTTTCCTCACTTTCATGTTCCAAATAGGCAAATCAAACTGAAAATGTCAACTTCATTGACATAACACCAACAATCTCATGTAATGTAAGCCAATACCTATTTGTTTTGTATGTGTAGTAAAAAATCAACACAATATAAAATTTAATCAACGGCTTCCCAAAATCAGATAAAGGGAAAGTTACATTTTTTAGGAAGACAATGCCTATTTATTTTGTATGTAGAATAAAAAAATCAACACCAAATAAAATATGTTCAACAACTTCACTAAATTAGGATATGTCAAAAATATATCAGCAACAACATTTGATATGTCCCTGTTTATGGTCCAGTAATGTATTTCTCGTCATGAATTAGACTCAGAAGACGTTACATTCCAATAAATGTACCTCTCTTGCTCATCTTGTATGTAGATATTGTCTTATACACATGTGTAAAGCTCATAAAGTTTTCTGGATCTCTATTTTTCAAAGCATCAACTATGTACTTGGGAGCCATATTGTATTTTGTCATTTCATTCACAAATCATCTATGATTATTTTCAAATGTCCTAATATATCATGACCATTTAAATCCTAAGTTAGTCATGATTCTCAATACCACACCTAATTGTCACCTTCCAATCGCTACCACTTGACACAGATTTCAATATAAATGGACATTTAACTTTCATACTAAACGTGCCTTGAGAGAAATTATTGTTCTTGTAGTTTCCTCCATCCTCACATTCTATAATCAATTTATCTTTCCTCCCTTTGAGCCCGTTTATGGTACTGGAATAGAAAGTAACAACAATAATACCATGTTATTTTCCAATAGATTTTGCACATGCTAACACTTCGTCTGAGGAGAGAAATATTTGTCATTTACGCTATATAATTAATTAATGATTTATGCCAGAGTTATCCAAAGCGTATTAAATTTTGTACAAGTTAAAAACAAAAGATGCAAGTTAAACATGAAGCGTGAATGGTGAAGAAATGGGTAGAATTTGTATAGGAGTCATCCACATCAGGAGCACATTAGGATAACATGCTGAATTGAACTACCAATTTTTTTACACTAGGCTAAAAATCTGGTATACCAGAATTATCAAAAAATCTAGAAATTTCTTACATCTTTTAAGATATCCGAGAATTTTGCAGCTTACCGTATTTTTCAAAAAATCCGATAAAAAATAGCATAATTTTTTAAAAATATGGTATAAAAGCACCACTTTTTTTAAAAAACTATATGATAAAAACGCCTATTAGATATTTAAAAATATGGTAAAATTGCAAAGTTTTAAACAATTTAAATAAAATTGATACCAAATTTTTTACTACTACTATTATCGGCTATTTTGAAAATTACTGCTTCTACCAAAGCGAATTATTTTAAGCAACTGTAATTTTAAGATGGATAAATAATGAGAAGGAAATTTTGGTCAATACAAAAATTAAGGGGTGTCAGATACATTTAGGCGTGGCAAGAAAAAATCTCTAGAGTTTGTGATGGGAAAGAAAAAAGAATTTTTCAATCCATTTTTTTATACTAAAAACACAATTAATATATAATATCGAAAGGATTTTTTCAGTTTATTTTCTGTCAAAATACATTATTAAATTGATCATTTCAATACATTTATTTTGTTTTAAAGGGTAAATTGAGAGACTCTAAAAAACAATAATTGTTGTACCCCAACTTTTACCCCTAAGATCCCTTCATCATACCATGTTGATTCAATCACAACAAGATCACATTAGGGCTTTTGGTTCTCTTCCCTATCTTTAGCCTTGCTCTTTGAGGAATCACCAAGCACCTTGACTTGTTTTCTTTTGTGATCATGAATATTTTGTCTTGATTTTATTCTTAATTAATAAAATGCAACGTTGGTTTGTCTTACTTGTTAATAATGTAGGTAAAGACAATGAGATTTAGCAAGTTGATCCATGAGTTCATGAGTTTATTTCCATGCCCTAGTCAATAAAGCTTGAGAAATTCAAACCTCAACATTGAAGTTGTTTTGGAAGAAATGTCATGGAAAGGTTTATTTTGGTTCACTACATTTCAAAGTTATCAAAATTGATTCAAAAGTACAAGGGGTTGATTGAAGAAGTTGTCATGGTTGGACAAGGTCTTGTTCCCATTGGTCACAAGTGCATATTTCTCTCAATTCTCAAGATATGGAAGTGGTTTTGGTGGCTATGAGTTCT